AAAAAAGAAAAAGCTGAATTGCTTGATATGTACTGTAGACTGAGGTCTGCAACTGCAATTGGCTGCCATCTCAAGATAAATGAATCCAACATAAGGACCATTGTAATAAAAAAAAAAAGGAAATTCATGAAGCTGCTCCTGCAGCTACACCAGTAGGTGCTAAAATCTTGCACTTTTTGTGAAATACCTTTTTAAGTAGTACTGAAAATGCAGCTTTTATGTGGGTGCAGGATTGATATAAGAAAGCTATATCTACAGATTCTAACATAATTTGAGAAAAAGCGAAATGGCAACTTAAAGCAAAAAGAAGGTGAAGGGGTCAGGTGTGGTGGCTCATGCCTATAATCCCAGTACTTTGGGAGGCTGTGGTGGGCAGATTACTTGAGTCGAGGACTTTGAGACCAGCATGGGCAGCATGGCGAAAATTAAGCAATTTTCCCGCCTCAGCCTCCTGCGTAGCTGGAACTACAGGCACGTGCTACCATGCTGGGCTAATTTGGCATGTAACAACATGCCAAAACGCTGTCTCTACCAAAAATGCAAGTGATCTGCCCGCCTCATCCTCCGAAAGTGCTGGGATTACAGGTGTGAGCCACTGTGCCCGGTTTGTTTTATTTGTTATAAAGGATATTACTAGGACAACTGATGAAATTGAAACAAGGTCTGTAGAATACATAATGATATTAGGTCAATATAAATTATCTAATTTTGATAACTGTACTGCAGCTATGTAAAAGAATTCCTTATTTTTAGGAAATATGTAATGGATAAGAGTGAGAGATTGAGAAGGATTAAACAAATGAAAAAAAAAAAGTTAACATAGAGAATCTGAGTAAAAGGTATCTAGAATCCTCGTACTTGTTCTCATAACTTAGACTTTTCTGTAAGTCTAAAATTATGTAAAAACAAAACAAAAACCCCTACCCTATTTTAAAGTTACTAAAAATAGTAACTATTTTAAAGTTACTAAAAATAACTCCTTGTGGTTATGCTTTCACTTTGCAATAGAGCAAAGTTCTTTTGTTTTCATTAGATTTTGCCTTAATTTGGTGTTTTAATTATATAAAACATGTACATACGTTCTAAAGTACAAACTGTAAAACATACTATTCAGAGAGGTCTAGCTTTTGCACTCTTCCCCCACTCCCAATCTTTTCTTCACCACTGGTAAGTATTTTTATTAGTTTTCAGTTTATCCTTCAATTTTTTAAAAATAAGAAAATACGCACAAATATTCAAAATTTACACATAACAATATATTCTATAGGTAATTCCATTGCAGTACCTATAGCTTTTTTGTGGAGGTTTTTAAATTTTTAATTTTATTTATTTTGAGACAGGGTCTCACTATGTCGCCCAGACTGGAGTGCAGTGGCACGATCATGGCTCACTGCAGCCTCCAACTCCTGGGGCTTAAGCCACCCTCTTGCCTCAGCCTCCTGAGTAGCTGGGACTACAGGTACGTGCCACCACACCTGGCTAATTTTTGTGGTTTTTTGTAAAGACAGGGTTTCGCCATGTTGCCCAGGCTAGTCTCGAACTCCTGAGCTCAAGGGATCTGCCCACCTCAGCTGGCCAAAGTGCTGGGATTACAAGCATGAAGCACTGTGCCCGGCTTTTGTTTCTTAAAGAGAGACATTTGTATATACTAGCAGAGGTGGACACTGGAAGACAATAAAGTTCTCTTCCAAGTGCTTCTATTTTCTTGGTGAAATAAAAAGTGGTCACCAGGTGGGAGTGAGGAAGGAGGGGGGTTCCTGGCAGTCTGAGAAGAGTACAGGTGTGAAAAAGTATTTTCAGGGAATAGGAGAATGAACTGATTAAACAGTGGTCCTCAAACCTTAGCATCAGAATCACACAGGTTGCTGAGCCCCATCCCCAGAATTTCTGGCTCACAGGTCTGGGATGAGGTCAGGAATATGCATTTTTTTCTTTTTTGTTTTTTGAGATGGAGTCTCGATCTGTCACCCAGGCTGGAGTGCAACGGTGCGATCTCAGCTCACTGCAACCTCTGCCTCCCAGGTTCAAGCGATTCTCCTGCCTCAGCCTCCTGAGTAACTGGGATTACAGGCGCGTGCCGCCACACCCGGCTAATTTTTGTATTTTTAGTAGAGATGGGGTTGCACCATGTTGGTCAGGCTGGTCTTGAACTCCTGACCTGAGGTGATCTGCCCACCTTGGCCTCCCAAAGTGCTGGGATTACAGGCGTGAGCCACTACACTCAGTCTTTTTTTTTTTCTTTTCTTTTTTTTTTTTTAGGGACAAGGTTTTGCTATGTTGCCCAGGCTAGACTCAAACTCTTAGGCTCAAGTACTCCTCCCATCTCAGCCTCCCAAGTAGCTGGAACTACAGGCGTGCGCCACCATGCCCAGCTAAGAACATACATTTCTGACAAGCTTCTGAGTGATGTTGATGCAACTCGTTTGGGACCTGTTTTGAGAACCACTGGACTAAGGAAATATACCAGGATTGTTGGCAGCCCAGGGGCCCACTTGAGGTTTGTAGTCATGAATTTGAAGCGAGACTAATCAGCATCATTGAATGTTTGTATCCAGCAGTCTTCATTTTAGATGGCAAGGTTCAGGCCTGGAGTAGGTGGTGAGCTGAATTTAACCGGGGTTGGGATTTAAAGAGAACGGTGATATCAGTAATAGATGGCACTAAACAAGCATATACATTTATTCTTTTCTACTTCTATCTTTATATAAATAAATACCTTACAATCTCAACAAGAGAAAGAGGAAGCGTGAAGGGAAAAGGACATATCGAAAATGAGCTAAGAACACAGAGACAAACCAGAAAATCCAGAATGAACAGGAAAAAGCGTATATAAAGAAATAGCTATAAAAAGATTATACTCAAATCTGGTGGTAGCTGTGTTGACTCACATTGAGGAGAAAATGTGGTCACAATATGAGGAAACTGAAGATTAAAACAATTAGTATTTTGAAAAAGTTTGGCTTAGGTGTAGGAAAATAATATAGAAAAAAATATATTCATACTAGATTATATGAAATAGAATGCACATAGGTAAATGCCTATTTAGTCATTAAAAAATTCCTGATAGGATCTTGAAGAGATATATGCATACTCATGTTCACTGCAGCATTATTCACATTAGTCAAGAGGTGGAAGCAACCAAAAACTCCATCAACAGATGAATGCATAAGGAAAATGTGGTGCATATACAGTGGAATATAATGCAGTTTGATAAAAGAAGAAAATCCTGTAACATGCTGCAACACAGATGAACCTCAAGGATATGACACTAAGTGAGATAAACCTGTCACAAAAGGACAAATACTGTGTGATTCCACTCATATGAAGTATCCAAAATAGTCAAAATCAATGAAACACAAATCATGATTGTAAGGGCAGTGGAAGAGGAGAGAAATAGTTTAGTGGTAAAGGGTTTTAGTTGTGCAAGACGAAAAACTTCTAGAAACTGTTGCACAACAATGTGAATATACTTAACACTATTGAATTGTACACTTAAAAATGGTTAAGATGGGGCTGGGCACGATGGCTCATGCCTGTAATCACAGCACTTTGGGAGGATGATGTGGGTGGATCATTTGAGGTCAGGAGTTCAAGACTAGCCTGACCAACATGGCAAAACCCCGTCTCTATTAAAGATACAAAAATTAGCCAGGGATGGTGGTGCATGTCTGTAATCCCAGCTACTCAGGAGGCTGAGGCAGAAGAATAGCTGGAACCTAGGAGGCAGAGGTTGCAGTGAGCTGAGATCGTGCCACTGTACTCCACCCTGGGCGACAAGAGCGAAACTCCGTCTCAAAAAAAAAAAAAAAAAAGGTTAAGATGGTAAATCTAATGTTACATATTGTACCACAATAAAAGAAAATCCTGCCAGACCAATACAGTAACCACCTTCCTTCTCAGAGGTTCTGAGGGGAAGTAAGAGCTACAAAACATTTTTATTCTAGCAATTTAAAAATATCCTGTCCCATATATCATATTTACAACAAACAAAAAGCTCTGGAGAATATAATGTTCAGAAGAGTGTACCCAGAAATAATTAGAATGTCAGATACAGCCCAATGAGTCAAATATTTAGTGTAAACAAAGCCGCAGGACAACACTTATGGGGAGAATGAAAACTAACTCTTCTTCATTTCAAATGGCAACAAAAAAAGGGAAATAACACTAAACTGCACGGCCAGCAGTTACATAGATGGACAGATAGTGGTTAAATTTTGGACTAGCATCAAAACCAAAACTGCAGAATCCCATCATTATTTTGCTTAAAATACAGGTGATGTTTTAATTTGCTTGGGAGAGTTTATCATAGTGATAAAAAGGGGAGACCACCATCAGAAATCTCATCTAGTCCTAATAACACAAGACTGTTTTAGCAAAGGTCTTAAAGGAATACATGGAAATATGCTAAAATAATGTACAAATGAAGTAAAACTTAAAAAAGAGTAAAATAATTCATCACTAATGTTATTATAATTCAATAAAGGAATGCCACTTTATCTGAATAACTTAATTTCTAAAACAAATCCAAAAAGAAACAGAAATTCAGTGCTTGTGCTTTGAAAGTCCATATAGCATATGATATATCATTTCTTACAAAAAATAGAAAATACATATTTCTGCTTAGAATTTATAAAGCTTTTAAATTTTGGGTGGGGGAGGAAAACTTTCCACAGTTATCAAGTTGGAAGGTATTCATAAAAAAGATATAAATAATTTCCTAAAGTTCAGTGTTGCTTGAGCTTAAAGTTGTTCCATGGTGGCAGGGCTTTTTAATATTTTCAAAAGGAATCTGAGAGTTGTCATAATGAAAAAAGAAACAAAAAAAAGAAGGGGAAAAAAAAACCCCTACCACCACATGTGAACATAAAAAAGAAGAGAACCCCAACCAATTGCACCACGACCGGATGGAAGAGCCCAGCTGACACAACCAAGACGAGTCTCAGTGTCTAGGGAAGCTTAGGGTTCAGCTCCTTTTACTTCAGGCGAACCTGAACTGTGAGTATTGATTTCAGCTCTATAAATGAACCTTTATTTCAGCTAAAATTTGATTATCTGAACATTCAAAGTGAAACGTGATTCATGGTGATAAGGCTACTGTAATGTCAGCAGTTCTTTGCTTTTAGAACTACTGAGTAAATTGCTTGAATGACGCCTCTGCCTTGATTTCAAATGAGACTGCCTTTTTAGTTATTTTAAGTACTTTAAGACATTCAAGGTATTTAAGCTCCTACTGTCAATATAGTCACATTGTTGATACTGCATTTGGATACTGCCATCAAGATTTGCAGATCTACTTGCATGAATTAAAAGTTATTTTCATATGCAATACATTTTATTTCTAATGTATTATAAATTATAACTTATTGACTTTATTAAGTTATGCTGTCTCCCTATTTTCTATTACTGTCTTTTCTTTATTATATTATTACTACTTTATAGTATTACCAAACCATACAACATTTAAGTTTGGTGTTTCAGAAGTAAATAAGGTGAATATTAGATAAGAGAGAAAGCAAAATATGCTTTAGTTCAAATAATAATTTTTAAAAATGTGTTTTTTATGGACACAGTTAAATTTGTAACAAAACCTAACACATTACTAATAGTATTGTTTCTAAAGTAATATGTTTTCAATTTTCATTTTGTATACAGCAGTTAATGCAATTTTGAAGCATGCCCTGAATAGATTCAGTCATTATCAAGTCAAACTAAAAACGGTGAAAGGTTGCGACTATTACCAAATAGGTATGTACTTCAACATAGCAATGTGATATTTTCACAAACATACCCAAACTGCATTTTAAAAGCTTCTGCTCATCTGGAGTCACAGTGGAATCTGTTGGGTCCTGCCCTCTGGGTCCAGTACTCCTACCTGAGCCAGTTGAAAAAAAAACTGCAGGAGTAGGTGGTGGTGCGAGGGTACAATGCGCTAAACTATGTTTTTGAACTTGTGAATAGGATTTGCCACGTAACAACATTTAAAAAACATTATCCACTATTACAAAACTATTGTGACCACTTCAATATAGCACATGGGTCACAAGCAATGTCCACTGGGAAATTAATCCCCTATGTAAACACAGTGGTTTGTTTCTTATCTTCACAAGCAATTCTTAACATATCAAATAAGTAAATTTAAAAGTATCAATAAATAGCCTTATATAGTGAATGACATTGTAATGTACCAACCAACTTCAAAGGAGGAAAAAAAAACCAGTCACCAAGTTTAAAACAGAATCTAATTGTGATTTTTAAGTAAAAAAAATTTTTTTTTGAGACAGACTCTCGTTCTGTTGCCCAGGCTAGAGTGCAGTGGCATGCACAGCTCACCGCAGCCTTTGTCTCCCGGGTTCAAGCAATTCTCCAGCCTTAGCCTGCGGAGTAGCTGGGACTACAGGTGCGTGCCACCATGCCCTGCTATTTTTTTTTTTTTTTTTTTGGTATTGTTAGTAGAGGCGGGGTTTCGCTATGTTGGCCAGGCTGGTCTTGAATTCCTGGCCTCCAGTAATTTGCCTGCCTCGGCCTCCCAAAGTGCTGGAATTACAGGAATGAGCCACTGTGCCCAGCCAATTTTTTTTTTTAATATTCTTTTTTTATTTTTTTGAGACAAGGTCTTACTCTGTCATCCAGGCTGAAGCACAGTGGAGTGATCTTGGATCACTGCAACCTCTGCTTCCCAGGCTCAAGCGATCCTCCCACCTCAGGCTCTTGAGTAGCTGGGAGTAGCTGGGACTACAGGCACACGTCACCATACCCAGCTAATTTTTATATTTTTTGTAGAGACAGGGTTTCACCATCTTGCCCAGGCTGGTCTAGAACTCTTGAACTCAAGTGATCCTCCTGCTTCAGCCTCCCAAAGTGCTGGGATCACAGGCATGAACCATGGTGCCCAGCTGTCAATTTGTGAATCAATAATTATATGCAAGCTGTCTAAAACATGGTTGTAAATGATGGCCACTATTATAATGTAAACAAATGCATTGGCTTTGCTTCATTCTCTTTAAACTGAAGACTAAAGCAAAACCAGAAACGCTTACTGACAGACCATCCAACTATTACTTATTTTACTTGCAGATTAGAGCTGAGGCAAATGGTTTCAGGATATGTGCTTTGTGCTAACAGCTTTCTGGAGACATCCTGATTATGGCTATCGGGTCTAGAAGTAAGTTTAAAAAGATATGCTCTGCGGGTAGTGGCAATCACTCTGATGAATGATTTGTGATTCTGTAAACTCTAGATTTACTTCCTTATAATAATGGACATAGCAAATAAGAAGATTAACACCCTTTGTAAAGAAGTAAAGCCAGATGGCATAATCTGTTCTTAAAATTGTTAAAGTGTATGTTAAAGGAATCATGTCAAAATACTGCTGATAGAACTCAATATTAATCAAGAAAATGCTGATCTTATGTGAAAAGGAGTGAGGTTTGGTGAAAAGCATCATGGGCTCTAAAAGTCAGATCTGAGTCCCACCTTGGGCACTGTCATTTAAGAATTGTGTGGCTTCCCAGGTGCGGTGGCTCATGCCTGCAATCCCAGCACTTTAGGAGGCAGAGGCGGGTGGATCATGAGGTCAGGAGTTCAAGACCAGCCTGGCCAACACAGTGAAACTCTGTCTCTACTAAAAATACAAAAATTAGCTGGGTGTGGTGGCACATGCCTGTAGTCCCAGCTACTTGGGAAGCTGAGGCAGGAGAATTGCTTGAACCCAGGAGGCGGAGGTTGCAGTGAGCTGAGACCACGCCATTTGAACTCCAGCCTGAGTGACAGAGTGAGACTCCATCTAAAAAAAAAAAAAAAAAAAGAGTTGTGTGGCCAAGAGTAAAGATCATAACCTCTTGAACTTTCTTTCTTCCTTTTTTTTTTTTATTTTAGAGACAGGTTCTTGCTATGTTGCCTTGGCTGGCAGGCTGGTCTTGAACTCCTGGTCTCAAGTGATCCTCCAGCCTCAGCCTCCCAAAGTGTTGGGATTACAGGCGTGAGCCACTGTACCTGGTCAACCTCTTGATCTTTCGTTACCTCTTTTGTGATACCTACCTCACAGAGTATTGCAAGGATTATGCAAAGGAAGTAACATAAATGGGTTTAACACAATGTCTGGTACACAGAAAGTACTAAATAAATATTAGTTAATGGTTTGGCCATCTAGCTTAAGGGTTCAATTCTGACTGCACATTAAAATCCCCTGAGGAGTTTTTAAAGGAAACCAGTGCCTGAAACCCATTCCAGACCAATTAAATCAGAGTATCTGGGGAAGGAGCCAAGCACTGGTATCTTTAAAAAGCCCTCAAGAGGATTCTAATATGTAGCCAGGATTGAGAACCACTGATAATCCCTTCTACAAAGACTCCAATTGGTGGTAGTCTCAAAAATCTCCAGTGGTAAGATCCTTATATTGCCTCCCAAGAGAGATCATTTCATTAGAAAAAAATGATTTCCTTAAAAGGAGGCAACATCTGTCTCTGCAATTTCTATCATTGGTTCTTGTTTTGCTTTGCGAAGACACATATAACAAAGTGAAACCCTTTTCTCTATGGCTTTGTAAAGCATTCTCATCTTCAAGGTAAGGTGCCTATTTCCTTCAATTTGCTTCTATGACATGATTTGAGTTCTTCTCTCCATTTTGTCCATGGCCTTTTCTAAGTGTACTGCTGTGGATCAAACACTACATTAAAGGGGAGATCCTACCAGCTTGGGATGGAAGCAGTTTAGTAGTAACAATTTTCATTTCAGACACCACATATCTAGGAATTCAATTAAAGATGGGTTTTTCGTTGCCACCACACTACGCTACTGATAGAGCAATTGCAATTGTGTTTGTTAATGCAGCTAAAGCTCTTCCTGTACTTGTAAAGCTGCTTTTAATATCCACATGTAGAGCTTCATATGTATTTCTAATAAATTCCCTCTTTGATTTAGTATTATTTATTGTGCTAAGCATTAGGTACAGAGAGCCAAACAAAATTGATTTGGTTCTTAATCCTAATGGAACTTAAAATCTAGCATGAGAGAAGAAAAAAATCTAAAATAACTACTTACAGGTGAGTTTTTCATGTCATTTCAGCTACTTGAGCTCTCAAAATCACATCACTTCCTGTGCCTCAATTCCCTGAACCTATGAGAGCTCCCTAGATAACCACACAATATAGGTGGTCCCTCTACAGACACCCATTTCCTGGTAATGCAGGTTGCATTATTAGTTTCATTTTTGGCAGCCTGACATTCTTTCTAGATTGCCCTTTCCTTTTAGAATCTTAGATCACAGGCTGGGCATGGTGGCTTACACCTGTAATCCCAGCACTTTGGGAGGCTGAAGCGGGAGGATCACCTGAGGTCAGGAGTTCAAGACCAGCCTGGCCAACATGGTGAAACCCCATCTCTACTAAAAATACAAAAATTAGCCAGGCATGGTGGTGGGCGCCTGTAATCCCAGCTACTCGGGAGGCTGAGGCAGGAGAATCACTTGAACCCAGGAGGCAGAGGTTGCAGTGAGCTGAGATCGCGCCATTGCACTCTAGCCTGGGTGACAAGAGCAAAACTCTGTCTCAAAAACAAAACAAAACAAAACAAATCAAATCAAACAAACAAAAAAACCAGCATCTAAGATCACAAGAAACACACCTATATCTTTCTATAAACTTTCTGAAATTTGTCTTCCTGAAGTTGAGACACACGACAGACTAGACCCAGTCCTTCCCCGCTCCCTTCCTTTCTCCCTCCACCTTCCTGAATTCTGGAAACAGGCTCTTACCAGGGATTACATAACTTCCTCTTCACCAGCCAGTTCCTCTTCTGTGGAATCAATGCTCCCCAACTTTACAACATTTTAAACCTTAATGTTACCCTCTACAAAAATGCTTTGTTTTTAATAAAATTATGGGTAGAGCTTTAAGAAAGGTTATTTTTCTCTGTGTATAAGATCAAATCAGGGACTTAATTTATGTAATTCAAATCCACTTTACATGGTAGCAGTCAGGGTTTGAATGTCCACTTCTCCAAAATGTTTACTAATAGGGTCTCTGTCTTATTCACCTTCCTTTCCCACACAGTACTTAGCCAAGTGTGAGATATTTACTAAAATGAGATTAATCAAGAGGTGTTTATTAAAGCTAACTTTTATTAAGCAATCACTATGTGCCAGGATTAAGTTCTTCTTATGCATTTTTCATTTTCACAAATGAGAAAACTAAGGCATAGAAAAGATTAAGTTATTTGCCCTTGGTCACAAGTTAGTTGGGTCTGATTTTGAAAACCTTGCTCTGGGCATCTTTATGTTAACTCTGCTAAGTGGCTGCTGTAGAGAAATAGGGCAGTCACTCTAAGAGAGAAATGTGATGAGACCTCCAGAAACGCTTTCTTTACTTGTTGTGACCAGCTCTCAGACTAAGCTCTTCACAGCAGTCATTGGGCCAATAATAAGTAGCTTTGCAAATATTCTCTGCTGCCACAAACAAGTAGAATTCAAACACTATGTCTTCGAAGGTTCTAGCAAGTCTCAAATTATTGAACCCAGGGCACATTTAAGCTTTGGTCAGGTTACTTTCTTTTTTTTTTTTTTTTTGAGACGGAGTCTCACTCTGTCGCCCAGGCTGGAGTGCAGTGGCCGGATCTCAGCTCACTGCAAGCTCCGCCTCCCGGGTTTACGCCATTCTCCTGCCTCAGCCTCCCGAGTGGCTGGGACTACAGGCGCCCGCCACCTCGCCTGGCTAGTTTTTTGTATTTTTTAGTAGAGACAGGGTTTCACTGTGTTAGTCAGGATGGTCTCGATCTCCTGACCTTGTGATCCGCCCGTCTCGGCCTCCCAAAGTGCTGGGATTACAGGCTTGAGCCACCGCCCCCGGCCGGTCAGGTTACTTTCAAAATCTTAGATTGCACATGCTGTTTCCCATCTACGTTATCACTCTATGCTTCTAGGTTAGGAGTGGCTAACTAGCAGCTGCCAGCTGACTTGGTTTTGTTTGGTTACTTTTTTCTCCTGTCCACTGATACAAGAGTCTGTGTAACCTTGCAGGTGCTGTGTTCTCTTAGTCTATTATGTTAATTGCATGCCCTAAGATCCCTACCTTGGTCTCAGGCTGAAAAGAAATTTAGGATCCTCTTCTTTATTCCCACTTATAGAATGAGACCGCCACAGTAAGTCACACGCCATGTAGCAATACATGTCAAAATGAATGAATGCCACATACGAGGGAAAAAGTCAAGGCAGGAAGTGGTTCTGAAGCTGGGCAGGGCCAGCAGTGGGCCCAGCTCTCTTATGGCTGTACATACCTTTAGAGAAACTGATGCTCATCTTTGAGAAATATGAGCTGTCGGCTGGGCATGGTGGCTCAAGCCTGTAATCCCAGCACTTTGGGAGGCCGAGATGGGCGGATCACGAGGTCAGGAGATCGAGACCAGCCTGGCTAACAAGGTGAAACCCTGTCTCTACTAAAAAATACAAAAAACTAGCCGGGCGCGGTGGCGGGCGCCTGTAGTCCCGGCTACTCGGGAGGCTGAGGCAGGAGAATGGCGTAAACCCGGGAGGCGGAGCTTGCAGTGAGCTGAGATCTGGCCACTGCACTCCAGCCTGGGTGACAGAGCGAGACTCCGTCTCAAAAAAAAAGAAAAAAGAGAAATATGAGCTGTCATTTCTCTTCACTAGCATCTCTATTCCCATAAGAACTTCCCTAAGAGAAGATGATTTCATAAATTGAGTTGTTTTAATATAATACATGAAACAGACCTTGAATGTAGGCCATAGCCACAGGAAAGGTTAGAGCATGAAACTCTATGAGATACCACACTATGTGCTGCTTGTTTAATGATACAATAATGTTACTAGATGAAGTAGGATAAAAGTAAAGTTTCTCACAATGTCTGAAAATAAATCATTTATTACTTACACTGTCTTTTTTTTTTTTTTTTAAAGAGATGGGGTCTTGTTCTGTTGCCAGGTTGGAGTGCAGTGGCACAATTATAGCTCACTACAGCCTTGAACTACGGGATTTAAGCAATCCTCCTGCTGTAGCCTCCCGAGTAGCTAGGACCATAGGCGTGTGCTGGGAGGCCCAGCCTATTATTTACACTTTTAGTTAAAGTAACTATTATTAAAATAGCAAATGACTCAATGTTTGGCATTCTGTTGTAGGAAAAATCTGAAGACATGAGAACTACACATGAGGAATATGTCATTTAGCACTTTCACTTTTTGATCTCCACAGAAGACAATGAGAAGTCACACCATAACAATGACGACAACTTCAGTCAGCAGCTGGCCTTACTCCTCCCACAGAATGCGCTTTATAACCAGTCATAGCGACCAACCGCCACAAAACTTCTCAGGAACACCAAATGTTACTACCTGTCCCATGGATGAAAAATTACTATCTACTGTGTTAACAACATCTTACTCTGTTATTTTCATTGTGGGACTGGTTGGGAACATAATCGCCCTCTATGTATTTCTGGGTATTCACCGCAAAAGAAATTCCATTCAAATTTATCTACTTAATGTAGTCATTGCAGACCTCCTACTCATCTTCTGCCTCCCTTTCCGAATAATGTATCACATTAACCAAAACAAGTGGACACTAGGTGTGATTCTGTGCAAGGTTGTGGGAACACTATTTTATATGAACATGTACATTAGCATTATTTTGCTTGGATTCATCAGTTTGGATCGCTATATAAAAATTAATCGGTCTATACAGCAACGGAAGGCAATAACAACCAAACAAAGTATTTATGTCTGTTGTATAGTATGGATGCTTGCTCTTGGTGGATTCCTAACTATGATTATTTTAACACTTAAGAAAGGGGGGCATAATTCCACAATGTGTTTCCATTATAGAGATAAGCATAATGCAAAAGGAGAAGCCATTTTTAACTTCATTCTTGTGGTAATGTTCTGGCTAATTTTCTTACTAATAATCCTTTCATATATTAAGATTGGGAAGAATCTATTGAGGATTTCTAAAAGGAGGTCAAAATTTCCTAATTCTGGTAAATATGCCACTACAGCCCGGAACTCCTTTATTGTACTTATCATTTTTACTATATGTTTTGTTCCCTATCATGCCTTTCGATTCATCTACATTTCTTCACAGCTAAATGTATCGTCTTGCTACTGGAAAGAAATTGTTCACAAAACCAATGAGATCATGCTGGTTCTCTCATCTTTCAATAGTTGCTTAGATCCAGTCATGTATTTCCTGATGTCCAGTAACATTCGCAAAATAATGTGCCAACTTCTTTTTAGACGATTTCAAGGTGAACCAAGTAGGAGTGAAAGCACTTCAGAATTTAAACCAGGATACTCCCTGCATGATACATCTGTGGCAGCAAAAATACAGTCTAGTTCTAAAAGTACTTGAGGTAAACATACTAAAATGAATTATATAATACAGCCTCTTAATTCTTTGAAGAACTAAAAAAATTAGGAAACAAAGTTCTAGCATTTACAAAAGTCAGATCTCAAAGCTGTGCTTGTAACTGTGATATTTCATTTGCTTAACTGTAAACCATTTCAAGTTACTATCTTTTAAATCTCTATGTAAAATCTTTTCAAAATACATTTTTAAGCTAATACTCTTAACATAGATTATGAAGTTAGTGAAATTTATGACTTTAACAGCAAAATAAAGTGCCATCGTTTCTCATGTCACTAAAGTAGTTATTAAAATCAAGCACTTGATACTAATTTAAAGTGTGTTTAAAAGTAAATGATTTGGGAACTGACAATGTGTCAGAAAATATATGTTCACTTATCATTTTAAAATCTTGTATAATTTGCCACTGTGTTCATTTATGCCTAAATCTCTATAATAGATGAGAAGATAATTAATAAAATCCTAATTAAAAAATGAGATCACCCACTATCTATCACTGCTTAGATAAAAAGGGAAAGAATTTAAATACTGTACAGTAAAAATTAACAGATAAGCTAACGATTCAAAAGCCTAGCAATAGGTCTTAAAACCACACCTTACTTAAAACAGGTTTATAAACAATAGGGTCATTTCAGACACACTTTGATACAGTAACATTGAACATGCCTATTCTGTGATCCAGCAAGTCATCTACAAGGTATACATCTTACAGAATCACTCAGATATGTACACAAGAAACATGTAATGATGCTCAGTGAACTACCATTCATAATATGAAACAATTGGAAATAAGTACATATCAGCAAAGGCATGGAGAAGTGAACTGGTTTACTCACAAAATGGAATATGATATAGCACTGCAATGAAATGAACTACATTCACATGCATCAACACGAGTATATCTCATATATAATGTTGAGTAAAAAAACCCCGCAAAATTGCAAAAGGGTATGTACTGCATGAAATCATTTACGTAAAATATAAAAACATAAAACAATACCACATTCTTTTTTTTTTTTTTTTTGAGACAGAGTTTTGCTCTTACTGCCCAGGCTGGAGTGCAGTGGCGCGATCTTGGCTCACTACAACATCCACCTCCCAGGTTCAAGCAATTCTCCTGTCTCAGCCCCCTGAGTAGCTGGGACTACAGGTGCCTGCCACCACGCCCGGCTAATTTTTTGTATTTTTAGTAGAGACGGGGTTTCATCATGTTGGCCAGGCTGGTATCGAACTCCTGACCTCAGGGTGATCCACTCGCCTCAGCCTCCCAAAGTGCTGGGATTACCAGCGTGAGCCACCACGCCTGGTAGAAAACAATACCACATTCTTATGGATCAATACATATACAATAAAGATACAAAATATGTATGGTAATATATACAAGATATATACCAACTTAAAGTTAATGGTTATATCTGGAGAAATTTGAAGCAAATATGGCAAAATGTTAATGTCTGAAATCTAGATAGCAGGTACGTGATTATATTATTTTTGGTAAATTCCTGGGTATTTGAAATACTTTACAACAATAAAATCTGTAAATTAGAATTAAAAGGAGCAAACTCTGCAATTTTCATGCACATTAAAAAATAACAGGACAGTAAGCTCTAAAAGAAAGGGGTCTTAGTCTTGTTTGTCATTGACTCCCTGGAGCTTAGTACATTTCTTGGCTATAGGAGATCAATATACATTTGTTGAATAATTAACAGGAATGAACAGATGAATAAGATAGGGAGAAAGGGAAGGAAGGAGTGCTTACAAGAAAAAAAGTTGGGTGTAATTAGCTTTTATCCTGGTCCATTTGAATATAGCTGTATAGAACACCATACAGTTGCAATCTAGGGGGTGTCATTAGGCAAACATTCTTGAAAGTTTGGCCAACATTTGTCCAGTTCTTTGGTCATACACAGAACCTGAATGTTATTGACTGAATATGTAAAAGCCTCTTAGAACAAACTCCAAGGACTCATCTGAAAGTTTCTATCATGGTGTATAAAAATTTTTTATAGTCAGAATACTTCTTAAAACTGAAGGTAGGCCATTGGCTGAGAAATCAATCTGAATGAGCATGAAGATTTTGATCAGAACTGAGTTTATTTTAATGAGATTTGTCTTGTATACAGTGCTCAGTTACTATATATAGATATATTTTTTGAGATGGAGTCTCGCTCTGTTGCCTAGGTTGGAGTACAGTGGCATGATCTTAGCTCACTGCAACCTATGCCTCCAAGGTTCAAGTGATTCTCCTGCTTCAGCCTTCTGGGTAGCTAGGATTACAGGCACCCACCACCATGCCTGGCTAAGTTTTGTATTTTTAGTAGGGATGGGGTTTCATCATGTTGGCCAGGCTGGTCTTGAACTCCTGACCTCAGGTGATCCACCCCCCTCGGCCTCCCAAAGTGCTGGGATTACAGGCATGAGTCACTGCGCCAGGCCAGTTAACTAATTTCAATAAGTGCCCATAATTAATTGAATAAAGAATAAGTCAAAGCAAAAGCATATTTTAAAAATAAGTAATATTTGAGGATAAATACTGAAATTTGCAGAAAAATTAGAGGGTCAGAAAAAGGTGACAAAATTAATTACTTTGCCCTGACAATGTTAACACATACCATCTAAATGAAATTTAGCATTTCTGTTTGTATGGTTTTAAGTTATGAAAACTTCTACTTTCCTTCATGTCCTCAAATTTAAAATTTTATTTTACATTACTGGTAAACATCTTACATATCTCATTGTATACAGTTTGGTGAAATTATATTATCAATTATTATCACTTTTAAGGAACATTAAAATGAATATAAATACACTCATAGTTCTAGAAGCTGTCTCATTATACTAGATAAGATGATTACTATAAAGCTCTGCACAATGGCATTCTTAAGAAAGTTTTAAAGTATACTCAATTAATTCTTGCTATATTATTTGCAATAAAATACATTTTGATATAAATCAATCTATTTATAACAGATTGCTTACTGAGAAAAATCTGATAACATGCCTTAGAGTAACTGGAATCCTGAGAAGGTTTCTAAATGTTTAGAAAAAATATGCTACTGACTTACCAAAGTTAAGGCTACTTATGACATACAATCTTTTATTTCTTACTGAGCCATTAGTATTTGCAAGCAGGAAACAGTTCCTACCTCTCCTAACCCAAGGTTTAGTTTTAGAAGCATACAGAAAAAGGAAATTCAGAAGTATATACATATCTTTACCTTGCAAAGACCTTCAGAACAGGTTTCTAAATAACATCTCATATATGCAAAACCAAACACCGGTAAAATGAATTGTCTGGCTGTCAGAGTGAGATCTCAGTGTTGTTATTAGTTAATATTAATATTGCTGTTAGTTTTAGAGCCAGGTTTGATGGTGGTTGAATTTCTAAGATTAGGTCAGTAGAAAAAGACAATTCTCTTCCAGTACAGTTTTATTTTCAACTTTAAAAAATGGATTATTTATTCCTGCTGACATAAAAGTACAGGTAATATAACTATTTGAACAAAGGCCTTACTGAAAGTTATCCCACAAGAGAAAAGCAATATGAAAAGAGTTCTCTCAACAAGCAGCCTGGATGCTGCAGCAACGTGTTAATGGGCTAATTATTTTTTATGTTTTCAAAATATAATACTTTATCAGATATTAAAATATATTCTTATCCTTCAGTAAGGATAACAGTGGGGAGCAGACACAAGGATAAATCTGTGGAACCGAATACACATGTCTAAGCAGATCCTAGATGATATGATGATATATGAGAAAAGTACAAAATGGGTATATGACTTTTTTTTTTTTTTGAGACAGGGTCTCACTCTGTCACTCAGGTTGGAGTGTAGTGGTGCAATCTCAGCTCACTGCAATCTCTGCCTCCTGGGTTCAAGCAATTCTCCTGCCTCAGTCTTTGGAGTAGCTGGGATTACAGGTGCGTGCCACCAAGCCTGGCTAATTTTTGTATTTTTAGTAGAGACAGGGTTTTGCCATGTTGGCCAGGCTGGTCTGGAACTCCTGACCTCAGGTAATCCGCCCGCCTTTGTCTTCCAAAGTGCTGGGATTACAGGCGTGAGCCAACGTGCCACACTGAGATCGCACCACTGCACTCCAGCCTGGGTGACAGAGTGAGACTCTGTCTCAAAAAAAAAAAAGGTGGGGTTAAGTGTATTTATGCAAAGCTCAGGTGACCCCCATACATTCTCCTCCCTCAGAGAAAATCACTGCAAATAAAGGAAACATCACAAAAAGCATCAGGAAGGAAGGGATGGATTAATAAATAATAGTGCTGTGCCTATTTAAAATAAAAGGCCAATTTACAGCCTTACCTTTTATCATACCCAAAAATTTATAAGCACACCCAAGAATTAAGTGTAAATAATGAGACCATAAAAGATCAAAAAATGACTAACTCATCTGTAGATGAGAAAGAACTTTTAAACAAAATAATAGAAATAACTATAGGGAAAAATTCATAGCTTTGACTTAAAAATTTAGATTCTTTGTCCCAAACCATAAAAACTGAAGCAAAAGTACAAAGTAGGAAAAATATTCACAACAGATATAACATTTACTGGAGAGTCTTTTATTTCAGCCACCAACAAACAAAGTTCCCTTGTAAAGACACTTGTAGGGGTATTTTTAATCGGAAGAAAAGATTTTAAACTCAGAATATAATCTGAATTAAGTAAACTCAGACAAGAGATAAACTATGGGGCATTTCCACGTTGGATGATGTAGTGTCCTCTGTCATAGCTACATGGCCCAGCTGAGTGGCTGCCATAGTGCCTCAGTTCAGTCCACGTTTCCAGATGAAGACTTGGGAGAGCTGGTTGGGGATGGTAACAGTGAGCACAGAACTGGAAAGGAGGTAGTAAGTTTGTTCGAAACTTCTATTTTTCCTTTTATTTCCCCACTTCAAGTTCACATGCAAGGGATTAGGAAGTAAAGTAACATTTGTTTATTTATGCACCCTTCACTGTTCTAGGTGCTTCCCATGCATTATCATTAGTTAATCTCCATGGCATTGTGATGTAAGCATCAACTGTATTTTACATATGTAGGGATGCAAGTTGGTAGACTTCCATTCTACTGACATTGTCTCTGCTAATGCTTTTCACTTTTGTTTAATTCTGTCCAAGCACAATGGTGATTGCTGAGATGTCTTTTATTTTAAAAAACATAAATTGCCATTAATATGTATTGGGGGCAAAAATCTCTGCTTATCACTCATCAAAATTGTGTGATGTCAAAAAAACAAAATCTTTGTTGGGTGCGGTGGCTCACGTCTGTAATCCCAGCACTTTGGGAGGCCAACGCGGGCGGATCACGAGGTCAAGAGATCGCCACCATCCTGGCCAGCATGGTGAAACCCCGTCTCTACTAACAATACAAAAATTAGCTGGGTGTGGTGGCACGCACCTGTAGTCCTAGCTACTGAGAAGGCTGAGGCAGGAGAAGTGCTTGAACCTGGCAGGTGGAGGCTGCAGTG